GTCCACTACCTTCGGATCGGACCGGAGTCCATACCTTCGGGTCGGGCCGGAGTCCATACCTTCGGGTCGGGCCGGAGTCCATACCTTCGGGTCGGACCGGAGTCCATATCTTCGGGTCGGACCGGAGCCCATACCTTCGGGTCGGGGTCAAAGGGCTTACCTGCGACTTTTTGGTGAGATCAGTGGTTTGCAGACCATTCTTCAGTTCGTGCAGGGCCGTCGGGGGCTGCTCAGGCGGCTGAATATAATACGTACACAGAGACTCCATTAAAAAAATTAATAACTATGCTCTTCAAGCGAATACTTCTTCCAAGCATCTTCGCAGCTTCCGCCTTCTTCTACATGCGAGCCGTTGACCATCCCCGGAGGAAGGAATGGTACTGACACACGTCACCCCCGAACAAGCGGCCCTTGGTAATCGTGTGCCACACACTTACAGCTGTGTTCGCCACACACTTACAGCTGTGTTCGCAGGGTGGACATATTGCTGGACTACGTACATCACCATAGAACCACCCTAGCGTAGTGCCTGTAGAAACACTCGGCACTCTTCTTTTACCTTCAAAGTGGAGAACTGCGAAACCTAAGCAGATCTCAATGGGGCATTGCGCCGCAAACCGCGAGCACATGTGAGTGAATGAGTCTTGTCGCGATCACCTCCCGCCATCACTGCGGCGACACTAGGTCTGTTACCACCCTGGTTCATGGGCTGGCGACATTTGGTGCTCTTAACCGGTATGTGACGAATCATGGGGGCTAGATCATGGGTAGCTACCTCGTGTAGAGGAACTAGTGCGTGTGTGTCTGTGTGCGTGAGTGCGTGTGTGCGTGCGTGCGTGCGTGCGTGAATGTACAGACGTTAGTTGGTGTTAACAGGGTGCACAGGGGTGTGGCACTCGGGGGAAGATTACCTTAGAAGTATGATTCTTCGCCCGCAGCCACTCTGTCTGGGTGGCGGGGTCCTCGGCGAACGCCTCTTGCCGTCGCGCGTAGTTAGTAAATGATCGCAACACCTGAATTTTCTGCTTGTCCGTGGCGGCCTTCTGTAGTGCAGCATTGAAGGCCTTGAGCATGCTCAACACGTCACCGTTGGCCATAATGTGATCCAGAGCCGCTTCCGCCAGCTTGACCATGAACAAATTGTTGTGATTGGCCATCTTTAACAAGCAAGCACCACAACAAGTAAATGTGACCCGTTTCTGCAAGTACGATAATGTGAGGCAACCCTGCTTGATCAAGCTGTTGTAACAGCTGTGGGCACTTACCGTTGCTGCACAGGAATGGTGAAATAGCTCCTCAATAATACTGATCGCGCACTTTGCTATGGCAGTCCGTCGGTTATCAAGACACCGACAAATGTCTTTCATCATGGGAACAAAGTGAACGGAGTCACCCAACCCGCTGTTACATCGGAATCTGGCAACTCTCCAAAACTCCGTCATGCATCCGAGCTGCCAGCAATGTCATATCACACCGTATGTGCGACACCGTGTGTGCAACACCGTGTGTGCAACACCACACGCTGTGTGCATGCCACCACATCGTGCCTGCGTTCTGTGTGTCCTACTAGTGTGTACCACCCGCCTTTGGTTTCCAAATCTTTGAGGTGGTCGATATATTCAGCACCGGGTTCGTATTGACTAACCAATTCAATGATGCCTGAGAGGTTGCTTGTAGGTAGAGGTGTAGACGCTCTGAGTCTTTGGGTTGTACCTAGGTCTGGTGACTCCAGACACAGACTGAGAGTCTCCTTTAGTCGCAGGAGGAGTTCGTCCAGCTGGACAAAGTTCACCAAGCCCATGCCTGAGTTGACGAAGTTTTGACTTTGCGCCGTCGGCGAAAGGAAGGGAGCAAAGCTAGCCCGGCGACTCGCATTTGGACTAGAACCCGAGGACGAGAGTTCGCTCTGCCGCGCGGGAAGCCTCAAGACAACGCTTTTCCGCGTGGGTGAAGCTAGAACAGCCGCTGTCGGAACTCCACCATCAGACGAAGAAGACTTAGCACCATGCGAACAGCCCCTGATTGCCGACGGAACCGATCCTCTCAAGCTTGAATTCCCACCGGCATCCCTTCCCACGGTGTCCCTTCCCGTGACGTCGACTCCGGGCCTTTTGGGCTCTACCCGCGTGAAGCTGAGATTAAGGTTCGTTATCCTTGACATTCCACTTGGGGATCGTCTATTCCTCGATAACCCACTTGGTATAGTCGGGGTTTTACCCTTCTCGACGGATAACTGAGTTGTGGGCAGCTGACTTGTTGGTTCTTCGGTGGTTCGGCAATCCCGCTGCGGGCTTATCAATCCGTTGATCGGCAAATCGTCTATCGGCAAATCGTCTATCGGCGAATCGTCGATAGGCGAATCGTCGATAGGCGAATGGTCCACAGGCAGTCCGTTGATTGGCAAATTCGTCGGCAATGAGGACTGCTTCCGACTTTCGGGGGCCGTAGGAGATAACGGAATTGGCACCACCACAGAACCGTTCCGTCGACTGTTGGGCTCGTCCAGAAGCGGAGAGAAGTCGGAGCCCAACGGATACATGTCAGGGTTAGAAGGATCTGAGGGCAAGTGAAGGTCAAACGAAGGGTCTGACGGTGACCCACCTGTGGTGTCCAAGGCTTCGGTCAAATCGAGGGCAGAGAGGTTTGGTGATCTCGTGGGAACCCCACCAGAACCTGAGGACATCCTATTAGTCCCCATCCCGTCTGAAGAACTCACTTCCCCCACTTCCTCGCATCCGCCTATGCACTCCTTCAAGGAAACAGACCCTTGAATAATTATCGTCTCTCGAACACCCCTGGAATCCTGAACGGCGGAAACCGACACTTCCCCAGACAACGGCCCATTTGTCCAACCTGCTACGTACACGTTCTCCTCCTGCGCAATCTCACCAGCTGTAGTCAACTCGCTTACGTACTCCACACCATGCCCACGCCCATCTCCACGTCCGGACTCCCTAGAACTTTCTTTCCGATCTCGTAAAGAATATTTTCCACTAGCAAGCGGGTGGTCGCCACCTGTTAAATCAGACGAGAAACCGTCGGTGCTCCGTAAACCGTCGGTGGTCCGTAAACCCTCGGTGCTCCGTAAACCGTCGGTGCTCCGTAAACCCTGGCTTGTTAGATTACAACTCTCCGTTGGGGTAGAGCTAACCGCGGGGCTGCTTCTCTTCATGGGACCAGCGCTATTCACAGCACTGCTATTCACAGCGCTGCTGTTGTCAGCACTGTAGTTCGTGGCACTGTTATTTGTAGCACTGTTGTTGGTCCGATCGCTTGCAATCAACTGGGGAGCTAGGCAAAAAGGTCCTTCAGGAACCGTGGCAGGACCGTGGCTGGAGCCTTCCGTTAAGGCGGATACCGACTCATGTACCTCACATTCGACTTGTCTCCTAACTGGACCAGTAGAGGAAATCCTTGCCAAAAGCCTCTCAGAGCTCGCCCCTGCACCGGGTCCCGACTCACTTGCGGGCTTCTCTACTTCTTCGGCGGACTGTTCCACTCCGGTGGTAGCTCGCAAAGGGACAGCGGATGTCAGCTCCGAAAGGACTCTTCGACCGGAGACTGCCCCGCCCTTCTGGGTCCGACCTCGAACGGTTTTGCCTATCCCATTCTCCTGAACCTCGTGCTCCTCAATCTTGTTATTCGGAACCCGGCTGTCGGAAGTTTTATGCTGCTGCCATTGGACCGGTTGCTCCGGCTCTTTGCGATACGGCTCCACGTTTCCGGTCGCGATTTCGTTCACGTTTCCGGTCGCGTTTTCGGACTGCACTTCGTTCCAATGTTCCCTAACGCCATCCACACTGTCACGCTTCGTCCGTTGCAGGATACGCTCAGCATAGCCAGTGTGTGTATCGCTCAACGTGGCGTCATAAATTCCGGTCGACGCCTCGCTCGTACGCTTCCGTTCCACCCCTTCTTCCTTCAAACGGAGATCATCTTGGTCTTCCCACTTATGAACCCCCTCAGACTGAAACACTGAGCCAACCACACGCCCCATACTCGCCGGTCTCTCCCCGTCGCGAGCACCGCCCTCTTCGCTCTGGCTTGTCTCTTTTCCACCAGCCACTTTTCCACCTGCTACTTCTCCACCTGCCACTTCTCCTCCGCCACTGAATTCTCCTGTTCCGAATTGCGAGTTATTTGCTCTGTCAAGACGAGCTCCAACTCCCACATTCGACAGGTTAGCGAGCTCGCCTGTTCCCCTTGCCCACTGCGTGGCCCGTGCCTCGACCCCGCCCCATGGCTCCAGCAGCGTCGGTTTGGGCCTCAGTCCCTCCGACCGGTACAGGGGTGATGTATACCCCCAACTGTGCTTCCTACCGGCACTCAGTGCACTCGGTAGCCGTTGAGAGAATGCGCGGCTCGACAACCTCTGGGCTGGGAGTTCTTCAATGTCGACAGTGACTGCTTCCACGCTGTTGACGGTTGCGTCCGCGTTGCCGGACCAGTTGCCGGTGGCCGGTAGCCCTCCTGTGGCCGGTAGCCCCCCTGTGGCCGGTAGCCCCCCTGTCGCCGCGAGTCCCGGGGCAGGCACTGAAGTGTTGAAGGCTGCATCTTTACTCACAAATTGTCGGGCGACATCGCACGAATGTAGACCCCGATCGAGGTGTGCATTGTCTGTTCCATAAATATCGATACCGTCGGTCTCAGAGGCGAAAGCGTCGGCGTTCTTTCTTTCGACGGTATTAGTGTCAAGGTGGACGGCGTTTACATTGTCTTGAATGCTATTCGCCATTAACTCCTGCTCGAGGTCGAATTTCAGGCGTTGAGTAGTTTGGCCGACGCGTGAGGGAATAGTCTGTAGGTTTGGACAGCCGTCAAGAGTGCTGTCCGGACTGGAAAGGTCCTGATTCAAAGGGCCTTCGCCCAAAGGGTCTTCTTGGTACGAAAGGTCTTGGCCGGAAGAGCCGATGTTTGTTTGAGACGGAAGATTTGCCTGATCACAGGCTTTCGGAACGTAGTTGGCTGAGGCGCCGCGGGCGAGTCGTCTCTCCGTCAGTCGGTGGGTTGCGGTCACGAGTCTGCCGTGGCTCGCGAGTGCGGCCGGGGGCGTACCGTCCAGTAGCCCGCTCTCTTGCAGGACGGTGCCGGTGAAGGTGGGAATTGTGTCGTCCGAACTCGAAGGGTTATTGAGTGCTGCGGCAACCACCGACCTAGTGGGTACCCACATGACTTCACTTACGTCGGTGTGGCTGGCATTTCTTCGGCATGTGGTTCTCGAAAGAGAACGTGGACTTGCACACGTGCTGCCGGGGTCGTCGAGGCCAGAATTCTCGTAGTCGTGACCGTAATCGTGCTCTTGGCCGATTTCCTCGCCGTGCTCTAGACCGATGTCCTCGTCGTGGTCGAGACGGATGTTATCGAGGCTTGACAGGGATGCTGGGGGGGCCATTTCGTGTGCGTATTGTTCGAAGTCGTCTGTGGATTCGTGGACAAGTGATTCGACTGGCTCTATGTGTCGTAGTCGTTTCCGTGGGCTTTCCGGGGTCTCCAAGCAGTTGCCACCTACAACGATATTAATCTATAGTTGTGCAGCACGTTGTGCCGGTATTTGTGTGAGACCGACCCATGAGCCCGTCGTCGAGCCAAAAAGTATCTGCTGTCACTATTTGCCCAAGCGAGGCCTGACGGCTGCATCGGATCCCCGGTTGCGGAGCCTGCGGAAAGTCCGGCCGCCGACTCAAGCTCCAACGTGCGCCACGCACCTGCACCGGCACGACCACCCTCCGGCTCCGGCTCACACCACTCGGACTCGCGATGCGGCTCAGCAGACTCACCGAACTCCGCACCACCGCAGAACTCCGCACCACCGATAAGAAACTCCGCTCCTCCTTTCGAACCATCTCCGCCGTGCTCCGGATACGAACTGTAGGGCGCCGCAACGTTCGCGCCGATCGCGGGGAACGTGACCGGACACGCGGCGACTGAGCCGGCGGCAACCGAACCGGCGGCGACCCTGTGTCTGGTGATGGACGCGAAGTCCGTGGTGACTCCGTACTTGGTTGCATACCCCGCAAAACGCGGCTTTCCCCCTCCGCTATGACCCCCTCGTCCATGACCCCCTCGCCCATCAGGGTATCGACCATCGCGTCCGACGCAGAAACCAGAACCGAAGGCGAAGCTGCAACCGACCGCGAAGCCGCCGGAACTGACGCCGAAACAGGGATTGACGGATAGGCCGGGTGCCCTGAATTGAACCTGTGAAGCATTTGACTCAAAGCCGCCAACAAAGTGTTGTCGTGGACGCCGGCGCCACCGCGAGCCGTCGAGCGGCCCTGTGTCTCCACCTCCAGTGTCCCCCCCTCGAGTACGCCCTTGTCGAGTGTGCCCCCGTCGACTGTTGCCACACGAAGGTGGCTTTCGTCCAAGCTGGCCACGTTGCTTAAACTCAACTGACTGGACGACAACCGTTGGCGTTGTAGTATGCCGTCATCTACAAGGGCTACGCAGTCCATATCCTCGGTTGCCCCGTCTTGGGATGCGTCGTCGTCGAGCTCGACTGCCATGTAGCTACCCTCGGTCGTCACGCAGGCAGAGGGCTCGGTCCCCGGTGTTCCGGTGGTGGCGGACGAGTTGCCAAGTGGTCGACTCGCTTGCAGGTCCTTTATCAGAGCGTTAGACCCGCTCAAAACTTTTCGCACTCCCCAACGCTGGCCCAGTCCTTCGGCCTGTACTGTCTCCTCCGACAAAGATGCCGGTATCAGGGTGGTTGGTTCGCGACTCGAAGCACAAGAGCTTTTTCTTGAAGGTGACCGGACCGTGTTTCTTTGAATTTCTGGCTCCTCCTCTGAACCGGAAGTCAGAAGCTCCCCAGGGTCTGGAGCCAGTGGCGCCTCTGAATCGGGAGCCAGACACTCTTCTGAATCGCGAACCACAAGCTCCTCTGAATCTGGAGCCAATGTTTTACTTGGGTCTGAGACCAATGGCTCACTCCGGTTTCGAGCCACGGACTCATCGCTAAGAAGTCGGGCACTTCCCTCCTTCGACGATAAAAGATCTGTTTGAGAAATTGATTCGCGTGCCGGAGAATGAACTAGGAAAGACACGGTCCCGTGAACGCGGCCATCAGTGACCTTGAGATGCTGGCTCTGAATCCCCAGCACGGTCAGTGTCTTGTCGGCCGTGTCCTCCATTCGGCCCACGCACTTGACCTTGAGCACCACTGTCGGGCACGTGCCATCACCCTGTTTCAAAAAGAGCGACGGGTCAATGGGACTCGCAGAAATCACCGAAGCGCCTACACAGGGTAACTGCCGTGTGATCTCACGCCAAGACCCGTGTGGTTACGTGTGGGTTAGCCTTACTGAATCCGCTGGAAATCGATGAGAGTAACTCGCGAGCGTCACCATCCTCGTCTCGGCACTGTATCGAAGACTGGAGTGAGATGGGATGGAACCCGCTGGTGGTAGACGGGAATAGATTGTCATCGACCGGTGTCAACCCCTTAACGTAGTCCTTGCTGTCGTGATAGATTCGTCGCACCGTTCCAGGATCCTCGTCGGTTTCTGTGAGAAAGACCAAGTTACAGAAATAAAGCTCCAGAGCTACCTCTTGGTCGTTATTACACTACGAGCCAGAACGATCACCACTTGGTGTATTCACCACTTGGTGTATTCACCACTTGATGTATTCACCACTTGATGTATTCACCACTTGGTGTATTCACCACTTGATGTATTCACCACTTGATGTATTCACCACTTGGTGTATTCACCACTTGGTGTATTCACCACTTGATGTATTCACCACTTGGTGTAATCACCACCACCCGTAATAACGTACCATAAACATAAGCATTGTTCGCAGGATGGAGTTGACTATAGCCTTTTCATAATAGTATAGTCGGCAAAGAGCTCCGATTGTGTTTACTTGAATAAAACTTTTGATAACAGATTCCGATATCATGTGCTCTTGATCTATAGTCCGGAGGGCCTCGTCCAACTTTGCCAGTTGTTCCGTAGCTTTCTTCCTTGCTTCCATGGTCGCTAGCTCTTTGATGGTCCCAATAGATTTCATGGTGTGTTCGCAGAACTGTTGAAGTTCCTCATCTATAGATGGACGTTGTGGTGTGACACCTTTGTGGTGTGACACCTTTGTGGTGTGACACCTTTGTGGTGTGACACCTTTGTGGTGTGGCACCGCGGAAGCTTGTTGCCTTCTTGGCGCGGGATCTTCTTGGGGTGGCCGTTCTTGGCTTACGAGTGTGGGCGGGGGGTTTCTTGTTGCGTGGATCCTCCAGACTAAGAAGCTTCCACATTTAGGAATTAATTCGATGATGAGGAGGGGAGTGTGTTTGTTGGTTCAGGTGGTGGTGGGTTTCGGAGCGCACAAGACGCAGGCGCATCTGCCGTTAAGTCCTTCGCTGCCACCAGTGCCACCTTCAATATGGGCGGATGCTGTTTATCAGGGTCCTGTTGAGCCCACATATTCGTTAGCTGTGGAACGGGATGGTGATGAAGTTACGACCGTGTACGCGGCTCTTCAAACACCCGAGGATGCGGGACCGGAGTACTTTCACGAGTGGAGTGTCAATCACCCACGGGAAGGGCTAGGCTACCTGGAATGCCCACCCGGCTTCGATCTAAGACAAAGCACCAAGTCATGCATTATGGTTACTTATGCCGCGCCTAATGAGAGCTGCCCCTACGGAGCCTACCGAGACAAAGTTACTAAACATTGCATTCACACAGACAGCGTAGCACCAGACCGCACATGTCCCTCCGGATTCAATTACTTCATGCGCGGATGCATACGTAGAACCGAAGTCGCACCAACCGTAACCATACCCTATACCTATAACCGTACCCTATACCTATGACCGTACCTTACACTTATCTGAGCCCTTCTTGTCTGAACCCTTTCTTGTAGCTCTCGTGTTCTCCTGGCTACACCAAGATCGGAAATGCGTGTTATTCGTTGACCCGCGTTCCCGCTCTAATTGGGTGTCCGGAGGGTTACGCGCTCAGTATGAGCTCCATCGAGACGTACGACCATCTGCTCGCCCACTATGGCGAGGATAACAAGCAGGCTTGCTTCCGAATAGAAGCATACGACCCGGTGCGGTTTTGTCCTCCCGGTTTCACGGAGATCGTTCTGGAACGAGAACATGATTCGGCGGAGGACTTGAAGGATGCGGTACTCACCCGAGATCTGGGCGGAGATCTGGGCGGAGATCTGGACCGAGATCTGGACCGAGATCTGGACCGAGATCTGGACCGAGATCTGGACCGAGATCTGGTGTCAAAACACGACTTGGTGGTGGTACCCATAGCTGGTCCCTTACCCGGGACTGACCCTTTGCCCGAGGCTGACCCCTCGCCCGAGGCTGGCCTTTTGCTCGAGGCTGATCCCTTGCCTGTGACGGCGTCAAAGTGCGTTCAGTTCCTGGAGGCGGCGGCGGTTGAAGAGGTCTGTCCGAGCGGATTTATGTTACGGACGGCCACGGAGATCTCCTCGGTAATTAGAGAATTTGATTCGATTCTTGGAGGCGACTTTTTGGAACCGGCGATTCGTGTAGTGCAGTCAGTACACCCGGAAGCCCATTTGTGCTTAGAGGTGGTGGAGATTAAGGGCCAGTTAGTCTGCCCTCCTAGCCAGAAGTTGGTGCAATCGTCCGGTGGGGGTCACATCTGTTTAGAGGGATCCGCTGCTAACTCGAGATCTCTAGGGACTGACAAGCGGGGCAAACGTTATCGGGTTATGACGAAGCAGCTTGGCCTTCATCATGGAGCCTATGATGAAGCCGCACCCCATCTTCTTGAGCCCCGTCTTCTGGCGGCCATTGGAAGTCCTGTACGAGCGTTTCCGGACCGGCCGGCTTGTGCAGACCGTGGACCAGATGAATTGTTGTGGCGGTCCGGACTTCCCGTTTGTGTGGATATCCGTGTCGTAGTACCAGAGATCGTTTGCCCCGCAGGTGCAGTGTACGTGGCACCTGCTTGCGTCATGGTCGCGGCTGCCGAACCGCAATGCAAGCCTGGAGACGTGTTTGTGGCGCAAACCCAGCAGTGCCATCGCGAGATATTCACCAGCTACGAGGCATCCTGCCCATTTGGTTTGCCCCAGGCGTCGCAGAACGTGGGGTTCTGCGAAGCCTTGGCGGTATCAGAACTGCTGTATACTTGCGCTGAGGGTTATGCCGTAGCCTCGCTTGACAAGGCCAAGAAAAAAGACAGTCTGCCGAAGAACAGCAAACGCTCGCCCTCGCTGACAGTTGATTCCTCTCCCACCACCGTCTGTGAACTATTGGAGTATGCGGACTACCAGGTCACCTGTCCCCAAGGCTACACCAGAGAGCGCTCCAAAAATAATGCACACGCGTGTGTTGCCGAAAAAAGCACTAATCCTACGCTGATGTGCCCAGCCGGATTTCTCGCCGTCGATGAAAATGTACCACTGGAACTGTCCAACGACCGCGGCTGCGTAAAAACCATTGAAGTAGCACCTACCGTCGTGAACCCTTCTACTCCGGACACTTCAGATGTTGTGGAGAATACCAAACACGCCCGTAAAGGAGAGGTCACCGCTTGCGTTCTGACGAGCTCCGGCGCTCTCAGTTGCGGCGCAGAAAGAAAGTACCACGCGCAAACAGATCTTGACCACCAAGAAAAATTCGGCGCAAAATACCAAGGGAAATATGACCGGAAAAACAGCAAGAAAATAACGAAGAGAGAATCAAATATAGATGTATAGATAGATAGCTAACCGAGTATAAGCCAATATCCCGACCCCGAACCATATGCACGACCGGACATCTGGAGAATATGATGGGATCGGCATTGGATCGACCATTAAACATAGACCATAAGGCATAGACATAATCCCTCCTTTGGCGTGACGGTGGTTCCCGTGACAATGGTTCCCCAGAGGCCGTTTCAATCGCAGTGCTATCCAGCTTGCTAGTGAGAGCGCATGAATGGTTGCATTAGGCTCCTTCCGGGTTCCACGGAGATTTGTTCATAAGGCGACAGGTGAACCAAAGTCGAGCTAGGTTGGTCGCGGCTGGGAGCTCTGGCGCCGCAGAGCGCAATGAGTCTCTCTCCCGCCTCGACGGATTCACGTTCGTTCCAGGGTCGTTCACGTTCGGCCGTGCCGCAGACAGCACACGCGTGTGCGCCCGAATTCGGGTGCTGCTGATGGTGATGTTGGTGGTGGTGGTGGTGGTGATGTTCGAGAGGGGGTGCTGACGCATGATGTTTGACGGTCTGCGGCCGTCGTCCACGGGCGGGGAGTTGCCGCTGGCAGATCGCGCAGTCGCAGGTCAAGCGACTGTTATGCACGGGCCAGGCGGCTCGGTGCAGAGCCGCATCGCTCGAAAACCACCGACTCAGACGTTCTAAAGCGCGCGCGTATTTCCGATCACGCTTGTAAACCTGATCCTGGTACTTTTGGTACCTGGTCAACAAGGCTATGTCCTTAACAGCCGCCTCCATATCCTAAGAGCATAACCATACTGGGAGGGGGGAGCACAACCATACTGGGAGGGGTACAACCATACTGGGAGGGGTACAACCGCAGTGGGGGAGGGGGGAACTTACGTCTCTTGCTAGTCGTTTCTTGAGCAGTTCGTTGTGGATGAAGGACCAAAACAAGCTGGGGTGTTCGAATGGTTTGACGGGGGGGAAGGTGGGGGGGTATTGCGTAGGGTCGCTGGCGTGGCTGATGCCTACACCGACGTCGTAGGCCTCTCGTTTGATAATATCTCTTTCGCAGTCGTTGACGAATTCTGCAGTGGGGACCATTTCAGTGATATAGCCATGTGAGGTTTCGACTCTTTTAGGGACGGCCGTGGCGTAGATGGGGAAGTCTGCGCCCTCTTCGACGACCATTTGAAATAGTGATTTCGTTATGGGTAAGTCCCTGAGCGAGAACTGGCCGGGTGCAGGGCCATTGTGACCAGGCGGTATAACATGTTCTGGAGTAATGCGTAAGGACGCGCAGTGGCTTGAGAGATATAGATTTTCAAAGCACTCTGTGTGGATCGCGTATCCGGCAAACCAAATGTGTGTCTGAGGAGAGCTAAAAGAATATCCCACTTCCACGTCACCGAAATCCTTGTGATATTCGCCGCAGTTGATCCGCTGAGAATGCTGCTTCTTCTTACACCAAAAATGATAGTCTTCATCCTCTTCCAGTAAACGCACCTTTACCGGCACCGCACGATCAATCTCCAATTGCCGTGATCCTATCGTCAACTTGGTGCTCGGCGGAAACGATGTATACAACACACTCGGACTCAAATAAGCATCGTCAAACTTGTACCAGCCCTCTATTTGACCGACATTATCCAACAACGGGATCGCCGTCTAAAGCACACACACAAGTAAATTATCCCACCACCCAAAAACCAGAACTTACCGCCACGGGCATGCACCATTCTCTCTTACGTGTAGATTGTGCTCATTCTTCCTGTGGTTCAAACCCATTTTATTTAAACCCAACGTGAGCCTTCCACCTGAACCTTCTGCCTTCATGAACCACGGCTCCATGAACCACGGCTCCATGAACCACGGCTCCATGAACCCTTCCCTAACAGATTACCACTACGCATCAGGGTTGGAACCAGTACTGGAAGTTGGGTAGTGGACCCGACCGGAAGTTGGATAGTAGACCCGACCGGAAGTTGGATAGTAGACCCGACCGGAAATATAGGCAAGCATACCAGATGTGGTGTTCGCTATTGCCGCCATCATGATCAACAGTTTTCCAGAGATGATCCGGAGTTTTCGAGCGAAATGTAGAGCATGCAAACTGTGGGAAGCACTAAGTGCGGGGCATGTCGGAGAAGCAAATTAAGGAAACCGTCCTAGCTTTGGACCGCGATGGAGACGGTATGTTGGATTATTCTGACACATTGTCCGTGGTTCGGGCGTTGGGAATCTATTGGCCCAGCGGTAAAGAAGCGAAGGAGATGAAGGATCTGGGTTTTGAGGCTGACACGCGCATGGACTGTGCAAAAGTGGCTGCGGCGGTGAGCAAGCTAGCAGCACAGGCTAATCCTAAAAAAACTTTGACGGAGATGTTCAAGACATTCGACCGGAAAAACGATGGCACTATCCAGGAATCTGAGTTGCGAGAGGTTCTGAAAGTTCTCGGCGACACTCTCAGTGACCCGGAGAGAGATCAACTCTGCTCCCTCGGTGCCAAAAACGGAACCATTTCATACGCAGAACTCGTCGACAAACTTCTTAGCTGATCAACCTCGGATCCGTGAGTACTCGTTCTAGTCCAACCGTGCCCGGTATATCTACGGGGTATATCTACGGGGTATGCCTACCCGTCGAGACATCGACGACGACCGCAATATTCATGGCAGTAAATAAATTTTGCCGGCGCTCCTTATAATCGAGCCTCTACATCAACTGTACATTACCGCCTACCCCGTACATCACCACCATCACCTGTTTGGATTGTATTCAGCATTTGGAAATGCTCGCTGGCTGTGTAGTAACCTGCTTGAGAATGTCGGTCAACGGCTCAAGCCGGTAAGTCTGAGATTTTTTAATAATATCTCTGGCTGTCATTTCAGCCATGTTCGAGCATCAGGGCCCTCGGATAAAGTCGCGAGCTTGGGCACTAGTAAATTTAGTCGGCCTAGCCTTCATGGGTTATAGTATCACCCAGGTACCGTATCCTAAAGCCTTACTAGGTGGCATTTGGGCTGTCTTTGGATTAAGCAGTTTGTTATACCTAGTAATCGTACTAACAGGCGACACGTATAGGCATACTCTGTTAAGTAAGATAATGCTTCCCTTCCCTTCATCTCGCTTCCCTTCCTCTCGCTTCCCTTCCCTTCATCTCGCTTCCCTTCCTCTCCCATCCCTTCCTTTTTTTAGATGTGTCTAACTTCCCATTGGGAGTCTTACTGGCGTTATACTCAGTACCCATGCTGAAGTTTTGTGAGGAAGATGTTGAAGTGGATGGTTGCTGGGACGTCAGAAATTCGGAACGTGTTGTTTTCATGAGCGCATTCGCTGTCGTCGTGGTGCTCTTCTCTTTCAACTTCATGTTCATGTGCACCGGCTTCGCCAGCGGCATTTTGGACATTGAACCGAAGGAGGTGGAGGTTACGGAGGTTTAGATGAGGATATCCAGTCCCAGATGAGGAAGGTCACCTAGTTAGAAAAACGAACAGGTTATATATATAGCGCATGTGGAGCGAACCGGCGTATGTGGAGTGAACCGGGGGTGTTATTCGTCGCTGCCCCCCAAGAGTCTATTCATTTTTCGTCACAATGTGTAAGTGTTCGAGCATGCTTGCGCCCCACAATTATTGGTCTCTGGTACGAAAACTAACACGGTTGGTGGGGAACGGTTACCGGCCGCACGTGTGCGACCGCACACGGTATTTGCCGGACATGGTACTTGTTGCACACGAAGCAAAGATGCACTCGAAGCAAAGATGCACTCGAAGCAAATGAGGAGTGCATAGCACTTCTCAAAAGCAAAAATGCATTCGGGGGGTCAGTGAACGCGGGGGCACGCACCGTGAGGGGAAGAACATCTTAACGAATCACCCTGCTTGGTGGGTTCGTAGTCCCCGCTACCTTGTTCCAGGGCAGCGGGGTTCTGGAGTTTAAAGTTGGTCGGCCCTTAGTAGATGTGGTTCGTCCTTGTCTAGTAGTAGTGGCTTCCGATATGTCTCCGTCTGTGCTGTGGGAAACATCGTTAGTTCGTGGTCGGCTTGAAGTCGCCTTGGTGGCTGGCTTCGTGGTCTCGCGGTAGAGTGGGTAGCACTGAATTGCAGCGAGTAGTTTGTTCGAAATCTCGTTCATCATCTTGGTGATCTGGGCGGTTTGCTTCTTGTGGTGCTCCTTGGTTAAAGTGGCCATGCCTGTGTAAGCCTCGACCATGTCGTTTAGCATGGCCGTCTCGGTTTCTCCACGTTTCCCTTCGGCTTCTCCACGTTTCCCTTCGGCCCTTACGTCTTTCCTCAGTCTAGCGATTTCTTCCTTTAAATCGTAGACCATCACTGCTAGTTCTCCGATCGTTGGCGGCGTTATCTGTGCTATTCTGCGCTTGCTCCGTTGGGGGTCGGTCCCCCTTTCTTCTGACTGGTTCAGATCGGCAGTCAGGAGGGTCGTTGGTATGTTTACCATCACTGGTTAGTGTTACGGACTCGAACCTGCGTCCTTCGGATCTGGAGGAACTACACCTACCATCGGGCTGCCGTGACAG